AGTTTTGGAAACAAGTTTATATATTTGTTATTACTTGAATTTGTAAAATCTCCATAAAAATTATCTTTTGTAATTATTGTTTAACTATCTTTATCTAAAAAAGGGCTAATAGATTTTTAATGAGTTTGTTTTTGCAATAGAATATTTATTTGCTATTTTTAATTTTAGAAACCTAATGGTATTGAGTTTAGTTATGCAGTGTATTAAACAGGATGTCTGATGGTGTTTAAAAGTTTTATATGCAGTTGTTAATTCCGCAGCACATACCAAAACATCTTCTGAAGAATATTGCATCATCAGAAAAGACTATTCATCCCTTGATAAAAATGCAAATATAGTCAGGAACTGTCATTAACTGATTATACGTAATCTCTTTCACATGATTTTTAACCATGACTCACTGATATTTAAATATTGCAAATGAAGTAAAATGCACAACTGCATATGGATCAAAATGTATTCCTCTTTTTCTACTTTAAAATAAAACCACTTTTTTTTTAAATTGACAGAAAAGTGACAGTTTCTTATATGCATATTCGTGAAGTACACAGTTTGGAACGAATAAATTTAAATACAAATTCAATGTGGCGCTTAAAAGTTTTTTTGTTATTGCACTGCAAAACAAAATTCTTTTTCTTTAAAAAAGACTTGTCAACACTTTCGTAGCAAATGTTTCTTATAGTATAAGGTGGTTCAATGTGCGTGCACATATCAATGTTTTTAAGTACGTTAAATATTATAGAAGAATTTTAAAAATGCCTTATAATTAATTATTGACTGGGAAAAATGACCCTTGGACATGGACACTGAGCTTAAAAATGGTATATATTCTGCACAGTGCCGGATCATGTAGGCGCAGGACACGACGCAACTTTAGTTAGTAGGCCCTTAAATAAAAATCTTAAAAAAGAAGGGGGTGAAGAATATTAAAAAGTAGTATCGTGTTTTACATTAAATATAAATACTCAATAATGTCAATATTCTATAAAATAAAAATATAACGATTTTATATTTTTGTCACGAATACCGTTGTCATGTAAAAAATGTTGTCATCAATAAGAAGTAAATTAGTTAGGAAAGAACAACCAAAAATTCTCTCAAATAAGATAGCATATTATAGATTAAAATTTATAAAAGTTTATCGAAAGTTAACATAAAGTCAGGATAGATTAAACAGTTTAGAGATCATGTTGATTGAAAGTCAAGTAGCAAGACAGTTAGATTTACAAACTACTTTATATGATTTTGCAGTACAGTAGTAACAGTTCAACCCAATATAACTGAGAGTAAAAAAAAAAATTCACAATGAAAAAAAGATTATGACAGATTATGATATTTTCATTGTGAATTTTTTTTTTTACTCTCAGTTATATTGGGTTGAACTGTTTCTACTGTACTGCAAAATCATATAAAGTAGTTTGTAAATCTAACTGTCTTGCTACTTGACTTTCAATCAACATGATCTCTAAACTGTTTAATCTATCCTGACTTTATGTTAACTTTCGATAAACTTTTATAAATTTTAATCTATAATATGCTATCTTATTTGAGAGAATTTTTGGACTCTTCTATTTGGTCCGAGATTATTAGTCAACTAATTGTTGGCAAATTATCTTGAGCCAAATAGCAGGATCATCTGTGATATGAAGTTTTTAGTATAATATTTTTCTATATTCTTAGTCAAATTAAGATGAGTTGTTTCAAACATAATATTTAGTTTAAGACTCTCTATTTGAGTATCTTGTTTATTATTTTTCGCAGTATTATCAAACTTATCTTTGTGATTAGTTTTACTTCCATCTTTATCATAAATTTCTTTTTCATTTGAATCATTTTGTCATTGCTTTTTGTTTTTATTATTTTCTTTTTTTATCTTTTTATTACTTTCTTCTGGATCTTTATTATCATGATGTTGTTGGTTTGCTGTAGTTATGTATACGTCTAGAAATACTCTAAAACGTTGCGTTAAGTCGAACAATGGATTTAGAATGCGTGAAAACTAGTTGTTTTTTAAAAAACTTTCTTGTTAGTCAAACACGAACTTTTAGTAGAAAATATTATATTACGTCTGTAAACACTCTAAAACCTTGCGTAAGGTCGAACAATGGTTTTAGAATTCGTGAAAAATAGTTTGAAAAAAAAAACTTTTTTGTTAATCAAACTGGAACTTTGAGTAGAAAATATTATATTACGTCTATAAATACTCTAAAACCTTGAGTAAAGTCGAACAATGGATTTAGAATTCGTGAAAAACAGTTTTTTTTAAAAAACTTCCTTGTTAGTCAAACTTGAACTTTGAGTAGAAAATATTTATGCAGTTGATACTGCCAAAACTAAGATGCTTTTTTATGCAATATGTGATATGGACTTGACAAGAAACTAGTCCGTGGAGAAAGTTATGATGGTGCCAATCAATCTTAGGGTATCTAAGTGTGTTGCTAAAAAATTTGATGAAAGATGATGTTAATGAAGCGATATAATCTATAATCTACACAATAAAAGTACTGATGTTATGCCAGCTGTTGTTTAATTTAATTTATTTCTCTCCAGAAAGACTAGTAAGATTTAAAAAGTTACAATATGATATATTTGATGATGATGACAAACAAATCAATTTTTTTTTTTTTTTTTAATGTTGATTTTAGGTGCCCCATGAAGTCCTTACGGTGTTATCACAGAGCACCGCGGAGGAGCATTTAATCGATGTCGCAAAACTTGCCCAGAGGTGGGGTTTGAACCATGGATCTTACGTTTCTGAGGCAAGTGCGCTACCACTGCGCCACGGCTGCTGTAAATTTAAGTGTTCTTTTTCTAATTCGGTTTATAGCAAGTACTAAGTCATATGGTTTAATTCTGTCACATTAAAAGTAGTTGTTTAAAACCTTTGAGAAATTTTAAAATTAAAATATCATAACAGAGCGAAAGCAAAAGGTTTTTTAGACAAGTTTAGACAAGTTATTTTCATTTCAATTATATTTCAGACTTCACCTTGCTTATGATGGGTTTCCAAATGTAGAACGAATCTCTAAACATATGGAATTTGCTGAAGTAGATGTACAACTACTTGTTCCATCAATAATGTTATTAGAAGTTATATCTCGTCTTTCTCAGAAACACGCTTTATATCTTTTTTTAAAAAATTTTGTTAATAAAAGAATTAATAAATTTAGTTGAAATTCACCTACTTTTTGCTACCTCGCCGATATTTAATTCCTTTTTGCTTTGATGATAGTACTCTAATTGTTAACAAATGGAACATTATGGAAAATGCCGAGCCTAGTATCAAGAGGTACTAAACCTTATATAAGTTCAAACAACTCAGCGGTTTCCAGAAAGTTCAATTTAAAAAATCTATTGAACTTTCTGGAAACCGTTTTGTTTTAAATTTATGAAAAGTCATTATTGTCAATTCTAAATGTTCATACAGTCATATAAGCATTAGATATTATTAAATTTTTTTATAAAAATGACATTTGTTATGGTAAATTAAAAACGGAACTCTTTCTATTTAATTCCATTATGAATTCTCAAAACTCTGCATGTAAAATCAGCAAAAAAGACTTAACATCAATCACAATTATAATTGATATGATATGTTGAACCACATTAAATGTTGTTTTCTAAAATATAAAAACTTCTTAAAAATTATGTGACCATAACATTGACAAACTGCACATAAGACCGATATTTCTCTTATCTAAGATTGTTGATATCAAACAGTCGAGCGAACTCCACTCAAAAGCGATTTAATCATCTTTATTTGTTCAATTTTATTAATTGATAATCACGTAAACAGATAGCAAAAGACATTTTAAATGGAAACAGTAAAGTCACTAGAATTTTTGAATTTAAAAAAATTGTAAACTCATTTTAGATTGAAATATATTCTGTCATTTTTAGTATGCGTTTAAATTTTTTTAATATGACTTTAAAATTTAGTAAAATATGTTTATAGTTGATATTATATTTTATTAAAAATCTATACACATAGTTTACTTTTAAGCTTAACTTAAAATTAAAATCAGTTTTATAAAGTTTGGAAAATATTTTTAGCCCCCTCTCCTTACACTTATTGTTACTTTACGCATTGCCTGACTGTGAATAGTGTTGTAGTTAAATGACATTTTAAAGCTGTTAAATTCGTGTCTAATAAAACTAATAAAACCAAATCAATTTAAAGTGAATTTTTTTAGTCATTTTACTTCAATATGGTTTAACATTTAAACATTTCATTTTTCATGTGATACTTTATGCACCATTAGGTTGCATGTCCCAAAGCCCATTTTATAACGCCAAATATAACTTATTTAAATGTGGCTTGACCAACCAAACAATTAAATAAATTTGATTTATTCATTTCTGTTTTTATTTAAACGGTTTTGTTTTAAAAAACAATCAAGACTGTCTTTGATTGGATAAAATAAATGGCATGATTTGTTTTATCTAATTAGCTAGATCTTAGTTGTTCGGGCAAGCCCGTTTGTCTTGTTAAAAAGTTTAATTTTTTATAAATAAATGTAAAACATGGCAAGATCCCGTTTAAGTAAGCCAACTGGGCTTCCATTTATTATATAAATATTATTTTGTTGAATCCAAACTTTTATGGTCGAAAACTTTGGATTCAACAAAAAATTAGACTTATACAGATAATGTAACTTTTATATTAAAATATTTTATATATATCAGCAGAGGCTACCACAAAAATGTTAACATAAATGTAAGACCAATCCGACAAGCATTTGTTTTTAAAAGTTACGTTCTAAATGTATTTTAAATGTCTTTTAAACGTTTTTTGCGTAAGAATGTTTAGAAGACGGTTAAAAGACATTTAAAATACATTTAGAACGTAACTTTTAAAAACAAATGCCCGTCGGGATGTTTTATATGGTTTTAAAACAATAAAACTCAGTTAAATCAAATCTAGTGTAAAAGTATATTAAATTACAACCCACTAATAAATGAAAATATATATGCTTTTTCCTATATGCTTTTTTTTTCAGGCTCTGCTTGGAATCGGCGCTGTAGTTGGATTGATCTTTGCAGGCTCTTTCATAGAACATTACGGAAGAAAAAAAGGGTTAGTTTTAGCGGCTATACTTTACATTGCAGGGTGGATTTTAATATGTTACTTTCCTAATGAAATTGAGACTATCTTTGTTGGAAGAATTTTGACAGGAGTTGCCACCGGTTTCTGTTCATTAACTGTTTCCGTAAGTAAACTATAAAAAAATTGCTTCAAAAATGCAGTATATCCAAAATACTTTTATTTGTTTGTTTACTAATTTTTACTAATAAGTACTTCTATATGTAATAACTTATGTAACAACACATGTAACAAGTACAACTATATGTTACACATAAGTGTTTCCTAACCTTAATAAGAATTCCTTTAATTAAGTTTAATTGGTGCTTACAATTTAGATATATATTGCAGAAGTTTCACCGTTCCAATTTCGTGGAAGATTAGGGGTCATAAACCAAGTTGGTTTTACAATAGGGATATGTTATGCTTCTTTAGTAGATTTTTTAGATAATCAAATGGTATCAGCCATCGCCGGATTAGTTATTTCTTTCTTCATGGGATTTTTAGTATTATTTATTCCGGAGTCTCCTAGGTGGTTGCTAACTAAAAAAAAGAAATCCGAAGCCTTGAAATCATTATTATGGTTTCGTGGCACGCTATACAATGTAGAAGATGAATGTTCTGAAATTGAAAATAAATTGGGTACGTGATTTTTTTTTTTATTTAGATAGTTATCAGTAACTCAGGTGCAATATGCTTTTTAACTATATAATAGTGAGATATGTTTTTTAATTATAAATAAGGATTTTTTTGCACATACTTAAAAAAAATCTTCCAGAAAAAAAATCCTTTGCTGAAAAAATTCCTTTAAAGCAGTGGTTCCCAACCGGTGGTCCATGGACCCCTGGGGGTCCATAAGAACTTTTTAAGCGGACCACAAGATAAACGTAAATTCTAAATATTTTTTGGTAGTGAAACTTAATTTTGATTATTTTTTTCTGTTGAAAGAAACAAATTAAATTTTAAATTAAAAATGTAATTTATGCGAGAAAGCTGTTACACAAAATTTGCGTTAACTAATTCGACGAGGACTTGCGGACCTCTACGAAGTAATAAATGCTATATAATATCATTTTTTATCCGTAAATTTAAAATGTTAAAATCTTATCTCATGGTAAAGATAACCTTACTGATTTGTTTGAAAGAACGTAATTTGTGTTATTTTCTATAAAAATTCGATACTATACTACTCTTATCTATAGATGCTTTTTATATTATTTTTTAAATACTTTAGATGTCTAAAAGTAAAAAAAGGTCATACTTAGATGAATACATGAGATATGGATTTACCTACATGCTTAAAGAAACCATTAGCTACCCACAGTGTGTTATTTGTTATAAAGTACTAGGAAATGACTCTATGAAACCTTCAAAGCTTGCTATTCACTTGAATAAGTGCCATCCTGATCTCCAAACAAAAGATACTGATTTTTTCAAAAGAAAATTTGAATCACTGAAGAGATGCAAATTGGATAAAACTGGGATTATTTACCAAACTCAACAGAATATAGTAGAAGCATCCTATAAGGTTTCATATATAATAGCACAGAACAAAAAAGCTCACACATTGGCTGAAGAAGTTATACTTCCATGTACAAAAGAAATCGTTAGATTATTATTTGGAGAAGAAGCTGCAAAGAAGGTAGATAATATATCTTTATCAAATACTACAGTCAAACGAAGGCAAACGGATATTTCATCAAACATTAAAGAAAATGTTATTAATGAAATTAAAGAATCCCCATATTTTTCTATTCAGTTGGATGAGTCCACAGATGTAAGTTCAATGGCACAACGAATTGTATATTGTAGGTATATTCACAATAACAAATTTAAAGAAGAATTTTTGTTTTCTTCTTGCCTTGAAACAACAACAAAAGCAGCTAATATTATGGAAATTTTAAAACAGTTTTTCAATGACAATCAATTACAATGGAAATATTTGTTTGGAATTACTACTGATGGAGCTCCTGCCATGATGGATTGTAAGTCTGGATTACAGACTAGGGTGAAAGAGATTGCTCCAAATGTAGTTGGTGTACACTGTTTTATTCATAGACAGGCTTTGGCAACCAAAACTTTACCAGGTAGCTTGAAAACTGTATTTAATCAATTAGTCAAGTTGGTCAATTATATAAAATCTTCTGCTCTTAACACTCGCCTTTTTACAAAATTTTGCTCTGACCTAAATGCTGAACACAATAAGTTATTGTTTTATACTTCTGTGCGATGGCTATCTGCTGGAAATTTTTTGGAAAGATTTTTCATGCTTAGAAATGAAGTGAAAGAATTTTTATGTCAAATGAAAAGTGGACTGGTAGAATATTTTGATTTTATAATTTTGAAATAACAACTGCTTATCTTGTGGACATCGTAGGTCATTTTAACAAGTTAAATTTGCAACTTCAAGGCAAAAATGCTAATGTTATTACACATTCAGATAAACTGAAGGCTTTTATTGAAAAGCTCAAACTGTACAAGACTAGAATTAATAATGGAAACTTGATTATGTTTCAAAATTTAAATAACATAATTGGAGTTAACATGCTTCCTGAAGTTATAAAGACAGAAATAGTTTGTCACCTAGATAATTTGATTACTGAATTTGGTAACTATTTTCCAGATATGAATCTTTTGAGCAGTGAAGTTATTATATCACCATTTTCTTGTGATGTGAAAAATGTGAAAGCGGAAGCACAAGAAGAGTTTATAGAGTTAAAGAATGATACCACGGCTAAGGATCACTTCAAAGTAGCACCATTAAATAACTTCTGGTTGAAAATGAGGAATTCATATCCATTGTGTTCATCAATTGCACTTAAAGCCCTTATTCCTTTTTCAACATCATATTTGTGTGAAGCCGGATTTTCAGCAATGCTATCTCTTAAAACAAAAAAAAGAAATAGACTTGATATTGATGCAGATATTAGATGTGCTCTATAAAAAAACTAAACCAAATTTTCAGATATTAATTGCTAGTAAGCAGTGTCAGAATTCACACTGATCTGTTCTTGTATCATACATAAACTAAGATAAAAAATTTTTGTGTCATTGATAAATATTGATTTTGTGTCTAGTCTATTCAAAAATACCTTAAATAAAATATTATCCTTATGAATAAAAGTTACATTATTAAAATGTTCACCTTGTAATAATTTTTAAAATCAAAGGGGTCCATGAAGATTTTAGGATATTTAATTTGGGGAACGGGTTAAAAAAGGTTGGGAACCACTGCTTTAAAGGAAAATAGTTTTTTTTTTTACACATATTTTTTTAATTGAAATTCGCCTTCCCAAAACAAAATCCTCAGTCACTGTAGCGGCACTTCTTGCATATTCTACCTAATTGTAAGTCAACGTAGTGATAATCCTTGCATGTTTTACATATTTGTCAATCAGCTTTTGCCCACTTCTTGTACGTTCTACCTGTTTTTCCGTCAATATAAGCTAATTCTTTATAATTATTATTTCATTATAATTCAATATAATTCATGTTATAATCTCATAGTCGATGTAAAAAAAATGAAAGATTAAAGTTCTAATTTTAAAATAATTTGTTGCAACATAATATGTTTCTAATAAAATATGGGAGAGTATGCAACTATGATCCTTAAGATCTATTAGGCCAAATATGCTGAATATATATTTTCATATCGTTCTCTAAAGTAACAGCACATTGATAGCAAGTTTTATAATTTATTATAGTTTAAAATTCATTTTTTTTACCATAATATTTTATGTAAAGTTAAAAAATCTAAAAATGCTTAATTGGAATCATAGGTGCGTCCCGGTATGCTCCATTGATCCTACTTATGTGCACCTTTGATCCTATATATGTAGGCTCGATACGAGATCAAATTATTGCCATAAATATGAATGAATTATTTTTAAGTCCTCAAAACTATACGTATGATAAAAACTAAAAAGTTATTATTAATTTTACTACAAATTTATATTTCTTAAAAGAAGAAACAACCAATGAAAAAAATGTTCTTTTTTAGTGAGACTCAATCTTTATTTTTTTAAATTACTTTCAAGACAAAGTTTTAATTTCCTTGTAATGAAAATCTTATTTTGCGTTTCATGTTTTTTCTTTTTTGACGGAAAATTTTTTATTTCCCGAAGCTTTTTTAGTTGATTTCGAACAGGAGTATCTGTGAGTAATCGGGTGCGCTGACTCTTACGTCCTTTAACGGATTTCCTTAATCCAGTATTAAGAAATGACCTTATTTTTCTAGACTTGCTTGATGAGGAATATTGTTAGAAAAACTGGATAGCTGACTTGCAGAGTCAGATATAAGTTAAATAGGCAATACACTACAAGCTGAACCTGGTGACAGATTTGACGTCAACGACTGTTTAAAAGGTGGAGCCTGAACAATATCAGAAACTAGATCAACAACACCTGGAAATTGGTTAGCAGTAATAGGTTCTGGACGGTCTGCTACCAATAATGCCAAAAAGCTATTATCAGAAGACATGTTAGAATTAAAGGGTTCAACACCTGCCACAGCAAACTATGCAGAAATTTAGATAAATTAAAAGCTTGTACACAAGCTTTCCTTACAACTGCAGTTAATCGTATATGGTCATCGGTCTTGGATTAAATATAACCCAATCATCACAGGCGGCATTGAATAAAGTTTTAGGCTTATAAACTGGCTTATAAACTGACCCATCTAATGGCTGCAGCTTGTGACTACAAAGTGATCGAATGGACTGCATATTTATGCCTTAATTAGATTCAGCTAAATCTAAATACATAATTCAAACATGGCTCTCATAGTTGTCAAGTAAAAGCAATTGATTAGTTTGTGGCTATTTCACATTCTTAATAAATGTTTCATGCACTCTTAAAACATTGCAACATACATCTAACCAGAGAGGTTTGCAACCCCAACATATCCAGGTAGACCTCCATTTATCATACTTTCTTTAAAATGAACTCTTACAAAAATAAAAAATGTAGGAATTGAGTTTCCCATTGCTTTAACTGCACAACAAACTGAGTTGAGTAACTTAGAAAAACATGGAAGAACCGATATTGGTTTGTAATTTGAAGTATAAAGAAATTTTCAATTAACACACAAACACACACACACACACACACACACACAAAATTAACAATGGTGAAGGATTAAAAAAATATTTATCATGTTTCAATTATTGCATTCTTAAAATAAAGATGAGTTCAGATTGTATAGAGATATTGTTCTAGTAGTGTTTAGAAACCGGAGTGGTCAACAGATGAAAAAAGTTAAAAAATACTTTGTGAATTTTTAAAAATAATGATCTTCTTATATTCATCAGCTCTAATTTTAAAGTTGTTAATTATCTGGACGTTAAATCTTAATGACATTTCTTTCGAACCTTACTGCATGCCTGGTAGTTCCATCAGTTTTATAAATGCTGGCTCTAACCACCTTCCTAGTATACTAAAAATCTAAATCAGGTTTTATTAGCAAATTTGCTTACTATTCAAATAAAAAGCCGATCCCATTCAAAAATCACAAGCGAAACACAATATGTTACAATCTACACGGAAAAATACGGTCAACTCTAAATTAAGATTTCTCTAAAACCACCAATGCTTTTTATTTCTTTTATTTTTTTAATTAAACGCTACTTCCTTATCTTTACTTG